AAAAAAAAAAAAAAAAAAAAAAGAGAAAAAAAAAAGAAGAGCAACCGCCATGACCATTGTAATTTTTGTCAGTATTTCCTTTTTTTTTTCTGAACAGATATCCGAGCACTGACCCCTCAAAACTTGACTAACCTGACACATTGGCCCCTACCTGTGTCCGAAAAAGTGATCACGTGGTACAGGGACCTCAGGAGCAACACCTTTTTACCCGCCTTCAACATCGCCGGGGATCTAGTTTTCACGATGCCAACGTTTAATTTCCTCAAAGTTTTTTCCTCGGGAAACAGTGGTAAGCTAATTGATTTTGTTTTTTCCTTTTAAAAGGGGTTAAAAATAAATAATTTGCATAATGGGAATTTGGCCTCATAAAGTGAGTTTAAGTAATATATTATTATAAAATAATTGCCTATAAATAATGTATTGATCAACCTGAGGCAAGAAAAAACATAATTGTTATCATCGGTTAATCTATATATATAATTCGCCAGAAACCAGAGCAAAGACCAACACGACGCAGGCTGTATATAGGTACGCCAGAGCAAGCAAGCAAGACGCAGGCAAACACTCCCCTCCCTTCCCCTTGCCTGCCCAGCGTTGGTCTCGAGACATGCGCACTGCGCCTCCACCCCTTCTGTACCTCCCTCACTTGCCTGCCAAGCTCGTGGCATATGCTAAGCGAAAAAATAACAAGTTAAAAAAATAAAATAAAATATCTTATACGAATTCGATTTAATAAAAAAAAATTGTGAACAATTGTTTAACACTAATGACAATTGCTTTAGATTTGGCGGGATTAACTCATTCTTGACATCTTTTTTTTTAAACAGGATTTCCTGACAGAAAGAGGGAGTCGTATTTCATGCTTCTTGACCACATGCCCACCTACATACCGCAGCCTTTCGTTGGGTTCTACCACGCCCTTGACCTGTCTTACGTGTTCGACCTAGACCCCAGCGACATCCTTAAGATCTACTACAGACTAGACGCGGCTCGGGGCTACACCGAGGAGGAGATGGAGATGCGCAGAGTGTATCAGTCGATTGTCGTTGACTTCATGACCACAGGGTAAGGCTGACAATAATGATTGTAGAATAAGACAGATGACCCCCAGGGTAGGGCTGGCATTTGTAGAATGAGACAGATGACCCCAGGGTGGGGCTGGCATTTGTAGAATAAGACAGATGACCCCAGGGTATGGCTGGCATTTGTAGAATGAGACAGATGACCCCCAGGGTAGGGCTCGCATTTTTAGAATAAGACAATTGACCCCCATAGTAGGGCTGGCATTTGTAAAATAAGACATTTGATCCCCAGGGTAGGGCTGGCATTTGTAGAA